CCCCAAAACCCCAAAACCCCAAAACCCCAAAACCCCAAAATATTCAAATTTGCCTGAAAAATTATTTTATTAAAATGGAAAAAGATTTCATGGACCAAGTGAGAGACCAAGAGCTTAGCACACAGAGGAGGGATGAGGCTATTGTTCAAGGGGTCTTGGGCACTTTTGATAAGAGGATTTTGACTTTCTTGGAACATGATGCTTTGAAGAGGAGGATTGGAGATGTTGATATTAACTTTGAGGTAGGTTTGAGGGGTGAGGATATAGGGGTGTATGACCAGTTTTTGTAAAAAGGCTTCTAAATTGAGAATTTGTATTGCAGAATATGATTTATTTAACCTCAGAAAGATTAGAAATAGCAGAAAGTGTTTGGTAAATTCAGTTATTAAAGCAATTACACCAACTTACCGTATCCGGCCTCAAAAAGACTGCGAAATACAAGCGCTAGAGTTTGGGTTCACTTCAGATACCTCCAAACAGAGATCTCCAAAATTCTACCTGCCGCAACTACTCCGGATCCTTCCCTTCCTCAATGGTGTTTGTGAGTTTAGTTACATATAATCCTATCTTCTTCGCACCTAAAACGCATTTTCTGCTGAATAAAATCTGTGAAGACTCTCTACTTCTCTAAATGTAACCTCTACTTCACAAACTTCACTCTTCACCAAACAGGTTTCAGTTTTTCAAGCATCAGATTCTTTGGCTGTGCTGAAAGGAACAAGTGGGTTGAAGAGCCACAAAAACTGAACAATTTTTGGAGATTTCTTGAAGAAAGTGGGATAAGTCAGAATCCTGTCACAGTCGAGTTCGGCCAAAGTAAGTTGAGGATTAGGATCCAGATGGCTGGATAGGAGGGAAAGATTAGTAATAAAAAAATTAAAATGGTTAGTATGTGTATTGCTAATAGAGACTCTAAATTTTTGGTTTAAAGTATTTGAGGAATACATATTTCAAAGTGGGTTATGCGTCAGAATAAATTATCTGTGAAGAGATTTTAGTTATTATTTCAAAATTTAAACCAAAGCATAGATGAACCAATAATGAAAGAGGCACTAGAGGATATTGATATAGGAAAAATGAAAATATTTGGAAGAGATAAAGATAGTGGAAACCGGTTCATGATACAGAAATAACCTTTTGGAAAGTTAATTCCGTAATGTAAAAATCTTATTTGTTTCAATAACCAATAAATAAAAAGGGGTTTTGGGGTTTTGGGGTTTTGGGG